CGCATAAGGGTGGCCAGTGGGCCCATACCCTAGTATCCAGACCATGACAAGTTTGAGAGCTCTTGCGCGAGAATCCTAGAGATGTGTGAATCCATGTCTAAGCCATCAAGATTCTCCCTAGAAAACCTAATAGGATACCGCGGTAATCATGGAAAACCGAGGTAGCTCACCATGATTGAGTAGTATGAATAGTGTTACCATAACCTCCACTTCCCTCTTTACTCCGATACCGTACCGTCAAGGCTCCACTCTAATTCTGGGATCATCAACTAGGCTTAGCTGAACATGGTAGTGTCACTCATGCCCCAACCTAATGAAGATAGCTAAGCCAAGGGGCGATCAAATAAAATCAACAAACCAAGTTTTCTTGAAAATAAGTACATCAACCTTTGTGAAATGGAAACCCTAGTAAGTTGAATTTAAGAACTCTTATACTCACAAGCGCAATAATATGCAAACTCCTAGTTCACAAATGTTCAAACCCTAAATCAATTTGATTTCATTCTAAATGGTTACAACTTTTGGGAATTTGATCTAACAATCTTATTGAAGAATAAGATATTTAGTCATCTAACAATCTTATTGAAGAATAAGATATTTAGAACTAAATATATCCAAGAACCTCAAAACATAAATCATCCCAAGAGAAAATAAAGCTCAAATTATCTTGTAGATCAAATATCTCAAGACAATAACATTTTTTTTAGATTCGAATCTCTCCATAGATAAAGATTAATTATGTCAAGCTTGAATGATTTTAAACATACCACCTAAATTACATAGAATAATAAAGAAACTTAGCTCTTAACTAAAAGAAAGCACAAATGCTTACTACATTTTCCAAATTTACTTCACAAATATAACATACATGACTTTATATAGCCTCAAATTGAAACCCTTAACTTTCCATGAGACATTTCAAGAATGACAACATTCCTATTTTATGACCATTATTAGCCACTATGTAAATGTAACCTTCAAGTATATAAAGTCTTAAAATACATTGATAAAACATCATATCTACTCAAAATTTATGACCATATGAGAATAAATGAAATTCATCTTTCTTGAAGTTCATATTGTAGGATTGAAATGTCTTGCTTCATATCATATCGAGTAAAGTGAATATACAAGAAAAAAAAAAGATAAATATTAAAGAGTAGAACCAATTTCCATGACATGAATTAAATTTTTTTCATTGAAATTTTGAGTGAACAAATTGGCACACTTAGTAAATATAGCCGAGTGGTAATTAAATAATTGGAATTTTTAGAAGATTAAAAAGAAAAATGATGAGAATCAACTTAATTGAAAAAAAAAAAACTGAATTTTTTTTCAATTAATTTATTAATCGATTTTATCTGACATTAAAAACAATAAAAATTTCCACATATGATGCATAACCACTTCAAACATCTTGAAATGAATGTGAAAGGTGCCTAATAAAGCAGACGTGGAGGGGAAGGGAGCCACCTCATTTCCCGCCAAAACTTCCCGCCAAAACAACCTCATCGATGACTGAAGTGCGTTTAGGTCAGTGAAGTTCATTTCGTCCATTCACACTCCCATTTTCTCTCCTTCTCCCGCTCCCAGTCGCTAAGAAATGGCTGGGCCAACTCCCGATGGCAACTCCGGCAATCCGCCTTCCACGCCTGATTCTCCCACCACCTCCGCCGGTTTCGAAACGGACCAGCTCCCTCATCTCAGCCAAACTTCCGATATCTACCCCGATGAGGACGAAGCCGCTGTTGATCCTCATGTCCTTCCCGACGAGCCTGACCCCGATGAAGAGGAGGAAGGAGAGGATCTCTACCACGACAATTTCTTGGAGTCGGTTCTCGAAATCAAATCCCGTTTTGTTTTCTTGTTTGTTTTTTTAATAAAAAAAAATCTCGAAATCTCTTGCCTAATGTAGTACCGATCTTATGAATTTTCTTCTTAATCTTGTAGCGACTATCGGAGGATGGACGAGCATGACCAGTACGAGTCCTTGGACCTTGACGATTCATTAGAGGACGAGAGAGATTTGGATCAGATTATGGAGGACAGGCGAGCTGCCGAGATAGAACTGGACACTCGCGATGCTCAGTTCACCCGTCGGAAGCTTCCTGAGCTATTACATGATCAAGGTAATTTTTTTGCCTATTATATTCTATCTGAACAGCAAATTGTAGCCTTTTCCCTCGATTTCAGCGTGTTCACTCGCTCAGCAAGTTGTCAATACATTACTGAGCTATTCGTGCTTCCATTCTTTTCTCTTACCTTTCGTTCGTGTTTTCTTTAATGTATTACTATTCTAATTTTAATTTTAATTTTAGGATTGATCATGCTTGAGAATATGAATTATGCACCACATTGTCTTCAGCTTTACTTTTCCCTAACAAAAGCTTGAGATATGTAGGAACTAATTGAAGTGAACTCACTCTAACTGATGAGTTTCAATATCTTGAAAATCTTTAGTTTCAATTTGTATTGAAGTTATTTTCAGGCACAAGTTTCCAAGTATACAACCATAGAAGATTGACTGAAAACTTTCGCAACAAAAAGAATAGTGAAGCATTCTGTTCTGGTTTCAAGCCATTCTGACTTGTCATCCAGAACATAGTCATCTGCTCTAACCAATACAAAAATTCCTGTTGGTATACGCCAAAGATGTTTTATTATATGGTTTTTAAAATTAGTTGAAGATACCTTGGGGTCTAGCCTCCTAAAGGAACTGAAAGCTAGAGACGTTTCCTTGATGTTGCTTTACTACTCTTAGCAGCTGGAAGTTATTAGTTGTTTCCCTTTTGATTTATTTTTTTGGAGACTGGCAGATTTTAACTCTTGAAATTTAACTAGTTTGTATGTTTTGTTTCAGACTCGGAGGATGACAATTACAGGCCTTCAAAAAGAGCAAGAGCTGATTTTCGGCCTCCAGCTGCTGCAAGAAGCTATGATGACATTGATGGTATGCAGAGTTCTCCTGGTAGATCACAAAGGGAAACTTCACGAGACGACGTGCCCATTACAGATCATTCTGTTGATGACCAATATGAGGTATTTAAGGCTGTCACATCTTTATTTTCCTCATATTAGGATTTTGCACCTAATTATTGTTAGCCATATTTGTAACTAACAATTTCCCTCTAATTTAGGATGAAGACGATGATGAAAATGAGAATGAGATGTATCGTGTTCAAGGGCCACTTAGAGAACATGTTACCATGGATGCGGTTCGGCGCTTTATAGGGAAAAAGTTCAAGAAATTCTTGGAAACATATGTGAATCCAAAGAGTGGAAATGGTGAGCTTGAGTACATGCGACTGATAAATGAGATGGTGTTAGGTGAGCATCTGCTTCACTGTACTTGCAGTGGATTGTTAACATTTAGTTTATTTTGTAAAATGATAAAACAAATATTGTTTTCTAAGATAACCTGTTAGAGTCATGTTCATGCTTCTCTTATTTTTCTGACTGGTTGCTTTAATGTTTGATTGCAGCCAATAGGTGCAGTTTGGAGATTGATTACAAACAGTTTATCTTTGTCCATCCGAATATTGCAATCTGGTTGGCTGATGCACCCCAGCCCGTCTTAGAAGTTATGGAAGATGTTGCAAAGAAGGTTGTCTTTGACATACATCCAAATTACAAAAATATCCACCAAAAGATCTATGTTCGCATCAATAATTTACCAGTCTATGATCAGATTCGAAATATTAGGTATCCTTGTAGATTCATGGTGCAGGGCCTTTTCAGATATATGTTTTCTTTTATTATTTTCCTAGTCATTCCATTTTCAATTGTGTCCCGTTGCACTTTGTAGGCAAATTCATTTAAATACCATGATTCGAATTGGGGGCGTAGTAACCCGACGCTCTGGTGTCTTCCCCCAGTTGCAGCAGGTGAAGTATGATTGTGGTAAATGTGGCACAATATTGGGACCATTTTTTCAGAATTCTTATTCAGAGGTCAAGGTTGGCTCTTGTCCTGAATGCCAGTCGAAAGGGCCATTCACAGTAAATGTCGAGCAGGTGAATTCTTAGTTTTAATTTACTTCTTTATCTTTATTTATTTATTTATTTTTTTTGGGTGGAGCAACCACGGTTGAAATTCTGTACCTACAAATCTCATTTAAGGGCTTGTTTCATTTATTTGTTTCGGCTGTTCCCTTAGTGCAAAATGGGTGAGATGGTTTCTTGTCATGTATTTTTGTTTAGCATTTCTCTGTAGTGAAATAAAATCTCGGTGAATGTTAATCAAATTTCACACATTGTTGACTGTTATGCTGCAGACTATATATAGGAATTACCAAAAGCTAACCCTCCAAGAAAGTCCAGGAATTGTGCCAGCTGGGCGACTTCCTAGGTACAAGGAAGTGATACTATTGAATGATCTAATTGATTGTGCTCGTCCTGGGGAAGAAATTGTATGTTCCCTGCCCTTGATGTACTTTTGTCAAATTTTTCTTTTTGCAACACTTGCAAACTTTTTGACATATGACCTGATTGATTTCAGGAAGTCACAGGCATTTATACAAACAATTTTGACTTATCATTGAATACAAAGAACGGTTTTCCTGTATTTTCCACTGTTGTTGAAGCAAATTACATTACCAAGAAGCAAGACCTCTTTTCTGCTTACAAGCTTACCCAGGAAGACAAAGATGAGATTGAGAAGTTGTCTAAAGACCCTAGAATTGGAGAAAGGGTTAGTTATATTAAGAAATTAATGAGTACGTTCCTTACGTGTTTGGATTAAGCGTTTTGATTTGGTTTGAACTAATAACAGATAATCAAGTCCATTGCACCATCAATCTATGGTCACGAGGACATAAAAACAGCAATTGCTCTTGCAATGTTTGGAGGTCAAGAAAAAAATGTTGAAGGGAAACACCGGTTACGAGGCGATATCAATGTACTTCTATTAGGTGATCCTGGCACTGCGAAATCTCAATTTCTCAAGTAAGAGCTACATTTATCAGTTTGGGGATAAACTTCCTAAGTGACATACGGGTCTACAGCTGATGGAACATGAACTTGTATATTATTCTTTCCAGGTATGTTGAGAAAACTGGGCATAGAGCAGTGTACACCACAGGGAAAGGAGCTTCAGCCGTAGGTCTAACAGCAGCAGTGCACAAGGACCCTGTTACAAGGGAGTGGACCCTTGAAGGAGGTGCCCTTGTATTAGCCGATAGAGGAATCTGTCTTATTGATGAGTTTGACAAAATGAATGATCAGGATAGGTAGAGAAAACAACCATCGATTCAACATTCTGAATTTTGCAATTCTATCTATTTTCCTGCCGAGTCTAGAAAGTCTTAAATTTTTGGTGTGCTGGAATTAAAGTTCTCATCTGTGATTAGGGTAAGTATCCATGAAGCAATGGAGCAACAAAGCATTAGCATATCAAAAGCTGGAATAGTCACTTCTCTTCAAGCCAGATGTTCTGTCATTGCTGCTGCCAATCCCATTGGAGGAAGGTATGACAAGTACTTTGTGTTTGACTTGTAAGCATGCGAGGAAAGAAATCAAACAGTACCAATTGATGAACAATAAATGGTTGTAAGTCATAAATTTGATCAATTCTGGGATGATCATGTTTTTATTGTTTTTGTCCAAGCACACTCTTCCCTCACCAAATAGGATAAAAAATGATAACTTATTTTTCACCCATCCTTCACATCTAGTAATTTTAAAACTACTGCATATTTTAATCAACTAGCATTTTTATAGGTACGACTCCTCAAAAACATTCACGCAAAATGTAGAGCTGACCGATCCTATTATTTCTCGATTTGACATCCTCTGCGTTGTTAAGGTAAATTTCAGGAGACTGCATCCTTCTTTCTTCAAATTGTAGAAGTTGATTGTAACCGAAAAGGATTTGGATAATTTGCAGGATGTGGTGGACTCTGTAACAGACGAGATGCTTGCTAAGTTTGTGGTTGATAGTCATTTCAAGTCACAACCAAAGGGCGGCAATATTGATGACAAGTCTATAAATGAATCTCAGGAGGACAGTCAAGACTCTGCAGGGCCACTGGATTCTGAGGTCATACACTTGTACTTATCATCCTCTTAGTAGGTTATCTGTGGACTTTCTGCTCTAATATTTCTAAATACTGATCCTCCAGGTGCTCCCCCAAGATCTGCTGAGGAAGTACATAACTTATTCTAAGTTGAATGTTTTTCCAAGGTTGCATGATGCTGATATGGATAAGTTAACACACGTCTATGCAGAATTACGAAGGGAATCTTCTGTAAGGCTTTACTTTACCTCCTTATTTTTATTATTATTATTGATAGTATTTTTTTTTTTTTAAGCGCACTTAACTTCGTAGATGGAAACATCGCATATTAACTATCATTTGCCATGTGACTAGCATGGGCAAGGAGTTCCTATTGCAGTTAGGCACATAGAGTCAATGATACGCATGTCTGAAGCACATGCAAGAATGCACCTTAGACAGCACGTCACACAAGAAGATGTTGATATGGCAATTCGTGTGTTACTGGATTCTTTCATTTCAACCCAAAAATTTGGAGTGCAGAAAGCTCTGCAAAAGGTATAAAAGGATATCACTGCTCTCTCTCTCTCTTTCTCTCCGCATGTCATATAAATGCTGATATCGCTATTCAATATTGGGTACAAGAATTAACCATTGCTTTCCTCGATTTATATTAATACACAAGGATATGCTTGAATCATGAAGCTGAAATTCTGGATCTTCGAATTATACTCTAAAAGAAATCCAATATAATTTCTTTATTATTCTCGATTAAATGATCAAGGCCCTGTAGTTGCCATGGGGTTTCCATCAGAATTTGATGACCTTAAGTGTTACTAATGCTAATATTCGTACCATTTTCTATAATTTACTGATAAAGACAACTTTGTGTAATTCTTAATGTTGTATATTTGTTAGACTAACTAGTTTTAGTATCTCAAATCTTAAGATGTGCGATGTGGCTGCAAATATGTTTGATGAAAGTTCGGATAATACTAATGGAACAAAAATGACCTTTTGTTATTCTCACTGCTTCTATTCTGCCAAGATGACCAGGTCAAAGGATAAATCCAAAATTCCCATGCCCTTCCTATGTCCATAATTGAACCATCAACCATGCTATACCAGATTTCGTTTTGATATGTTAAATTGTGGAAGCTTTGGTATCTTGCAGAGCTTCAGAAAGTACATGACTTTCAAGAAGGATTACAATGAGCTGCTCCTATATCTTCTCCGAGAGCTTGTGAAGAATGCACTTCACTTTGAGGAAATTGTTCGCGGATCTACATCGGAGCTTACCCACATTAATGTGAAATTGGAAGACCTACAAAGCAAGGTAATGATATCGTGTTACTTTCCTATATATAAGGTAGATAAATACGGGACTTACATATATGATACCGATGCAGGCACAGGAACACGAAATTTATGATCTGAAACCCTTCTTCACCAGCTCTCATTTTTCAAATGCTAAGTTTGTGCTGGATGAAGAGCATGGTCTAATCAGGCATCATCTTGCCAGGTGATTTAAGGATACAGATTGAAAATGGAATAGGAATAGGAAATAGGAAATAGGAAATAGGTGAGTTATCTTACCGAATTGATGATATTCGTAAAGGACTCGAACGTTGTGGGTAGGAAGTTGTGTTAAATGGGGATTCAAAAGACCTCTTTGGATATTTAGAGATGTACTGTTTTGGGATCTGAATTTAATCAAATTAAGAACGAGTTGAAGAATTCTCTTTAGCATGATCTTATGCAATCTCTTCTTTTACGATTACTTCAGGCAGTCCTGATTTTGGAATTATATGTTCTGTGCAATCTCTTCTTTTCTGTAATTTTCCCCATGTTCTAACATATAATATGTAACATCTCCAAATAGCATAGTTAAAAATAATTTTGTTACAACAGATTTGTACCATATGATTATTTCATGTTTTGAGTACAATTATTTCACAATATATTATAGGTAAACAGGGGGTCTGAGCATATTTATAGGATTTGGAAGGCGATGGGATATTGTAAGGGATGAGAGCTGGATGGAAAGGGATTAGTACACTTCAATGATAGACCTTAAACCCAGCACAGGAATTATGTTGTAATCACTAAAACCAGCTGCTAGGAAAAGACTCTTCCATTCTCTCTCATTCCGTTCTCTGCCAGTGAAAGTGGTCATCATGTACACGTCGCAACAGAGTTGAGTTTCTACCGACTCCTTGTCTCTCTGTTCTTCGAATACCATCTCTATAATTATTACCTTCCCCCCCTCAGCTCTACTTGGAATTGCAGCCTTACAATTCTTCAATATTTGAATGCTCTCTTCATCACTCCAGTCATGTAGAACTAACTATTAACCAAAACAAAAAAGGAATGAGTGGTTTACTTATGTTAGGTTAGTTTCTATCTTAAACTTTCAATTTCATTGATGTTGAGTCATTGAAATCTTTCAATTTTGTATCTAATAAATTCTTAAATCTTAAAAAACTTCAAATCGATCCTTGAAATAATAGGACATGTTTGAAATCAATTTAAAGATGCATCGGATATAAAATCGATTAAAACTTTTTATGGAAACGATTCTTACTCGCCATTTAGAAATATATTTACCTTCAACAGGAGTGCATTTGCTTGTGGAATTTTTTCAAACATATCCCCTCCAATGAAGTTGAGGTTTTTTTTGGCTTGTTGAGGCTCTTGGCTAGCAACAACTTGTGGGAGATCAAACACAATGCAAGAGATGTGTGGGAATGCCTCCACAATAGCCTTAGCCATAGCGCCTGCACCTCCACCAACATCCACCAACGACGTCAACCCTTCAAACATCCCTCGGCATTCGCTCGTCACCACTTTCCCAATTAATTGAGAATCATGGATCAGCGTTTGATGGAATAGATTGCCAAAACCAGAAGGTTGTTGTGCAATATAATCCCATATTGTATTCCCGTTTGCCATTTCGAAGGCAGTGGAATTATGGTCTTTATCATCACTACATAGCCAGTTGCTCATAGTTTCCCACGGAGCCATGAAGACTGGACTGGTAAGTAGAAGCAACAAGGGCGTGGTGTCAAATGCGTTATGGTTTTGGCGGAGGAGAAGGCGAGAGGGTGTGGTGAGAGAGAAGAAGCCAGAATGAGTTTCAGCAAAGAAGCCAGAATGAACGAGGAGACGCATTAGACGGCCAAGGCATTGAGCTTTGGAGGGTTGAATATGGAGTGCTTCCACTAAGCTAGAAAGACTCATGGGTCGGCCATGGCTGTGGATGATGTCTGGTATGCCTAATTGGACAACGCATCTTAGAGACATGGAGTTGATATAATTGAAAGTATGATTCCAGACATGGGCTTCAGCCTCCAGCAATTCTCTGTTTTCTCCCATTTTGTCACCCAAAGCTTCTTGCTTTTCCACCAAAGAAAAACACGTCTAATATAGACGCACATCCAACTTTCATAATCCTTCAAATCCCTTTCATCCAAACTATACAAATTTTATTCTTGTGAAATCTAATCCAAAACATTGCTTTAAAATATGTTCAATATTTGAACCTAACCCACTAAATAAAATACCATAGAAATGTCGGTGGGAAATCTCACATTGATTAATTATTGATTAATTAAGAGGAAGATCATGGGTTTATAAATAAGAAATATTATCTCTATTAGTACGAGGTATTTTGAGAAAATCAAAAGCAAAACCCTGAGAACATATACTCAAAGTGAACAATATCATACCATTGTGGAGATTCGTGGTTTCTAACATGGAAGTCATGTCAATAGAATCCTAAATGTCGAGCAAAGAAGTTGTGAGTTTCGAAGGTGTAGTCAAAAGTGACTCAAGTGTCGAAAAAAATATGTATTTTGTTCGAGGGTTTCAAAGAAAGAAGTCGAGCCTCAATTGAGGGAAGGTTGTTCGAAGGTTCCATAGGCCTCAAAGGAGGCTCTACGGTGTACATTGTTTGAGGGGAGGAATATCGTTGTAGAGATTCATGTTTTTTTAACCATAACTAGATCCCCTAAAAAGTATCCGTATGTTGCTAAAAAAGAAAATTCATTTTTTATCGGTAAACTTTCAATCAATATTAACTCCTCCTCAATCTTGAAAAAATAAACTAGAATTAATTGATTTTTAATTCATTTGAGACTCCTTTATTGTTAATTAATTTAGTATTTATTGATAATTTAAAACTTTGTGAGGTATCAAATTACATTTTAAAAAAAAAAATCCAACAAACCGATTGTGGAACTGAATTTTGTAATGGAACTTAATTTAATTTTTATAATTAACTTTTAATGACATACTCTCTAAATTAATAAACTAAAGAAAGAGCCAAAAATGCCAAAAAAAAAAAAAATTCTAACCTCCATTATAAGTTTTTTCAATAATATCTTATTTTATTTTTTTAACGTCTAATACACCGTTGAACAAAAAAAAATGGATTTAAAATTTTTAAAAATTAACTAATCTTAAAATTAAAGATGAAAACCCGTCACATACAAATTAAAAATTTTAAAAATTAAAGATGAAAATTTTAAATGTGTGCAAAGTCAAGTTAATAGAATTTTAATCTTTATTTTCCACATTTAACATTTTTAAAAATGAACTAATCTAAAAATTAAAGATGAAAACTTGTCACATACGAATTAAATATTTTAAAAATTAAAAATGAAAATTTTAAATGCGTGCAAAGTCAGGTTAATAAAATTTTAATATTTATTTTCCACATTTAACATTTTTAAAAATTAACTAATCTATCTATTACATTAAAAAAAAAAAGGATTTACATCTATTGGGACAAAAATGAGAACTTTGTCATATAAGAAGGTGAAGATTAAAAGATTTTTGGACACAAAATTTATAACTTTAAAATTTTATTAGATACATTTTAAAGATCATAAATCTATTACATATGAATGGAAAACTTACTTATTTAACAAATTTGATGATGTATTTGAGTTTATTGGGCGTATAGTTATTTATTGGACTAACTTGATGCGAGAGAAATAAATTAACATTAAGAAACTATTAAATATCAATTATGAATTAAAATTACTATTAAGATATTATTGCATTATTTAATTAATCCATTAATTATAGTGAGAGAAATGGTACTTTTAAGCTACTAATTAATTGTAATACTTAATATTAACTAATTAAGTTTAATTAGTGAGAAATAACTAGATAAGTTTCAGTTAATGAAAATATTAATATAAGATAATTAAAGTGCTTTTATGCTAATTTATTAATAACTAATTAAAATTTAATGAAAATAATAACTATTAATTATTTTATATTGAATAAATAATTTTTAAAAAATTAGGAAAAGATTATACTTTTCGTCCCTAAAATTTAGGTGGGTGGTATTTTGACTTTTATATTATATTTGAATTTGGTAGAACTTTGGTCTATTCTATCATTATTTTATTTTTTATTATTATTGTTTTTGTTACTACAAAAAACTTGTTTTATTAAAATTTTTAATTTATTTTTTAATAATGATATTTTTTTAATCTCCTCTTTCTCCCTCTTCTTTTAACCTCCTCCCATCCATGGTAGTTGTTGCCTCCGCTCTTTCTTTTTTTTTTTTTTTTTCTTATATTTTATTTTTCCCTTCTCGGTCTTTCTTCCTAAACCCCGTTAGGAATATGTATGATATGTAACGAAATGAGAATGAGAATGACATGTAAGCATGAAAACGTGACGCGGGGTTATGCTCATTAAATGATGACGGTAGGACTAGTGGGACCTCATGCATATTGTGTGTTCATGCATTTGGGGGGATACCCCTATCCCTCACGAGGGTACGGACGCGTACATCCAAATGGCAGGACAACGATCGTTATGCTCTGCATAGCGCTGCCGTGACGGTTTTAGTTTTAATGGGTCCCGGTGGGCCCCCAGAGCATGCCCACCGGCTAGGGACAGTGGCCCAGCGGTGTGCGAACTAGCTAGTGCACCCATACTCGCACGTATGGGCTGCGTGTAGAGTATATGATACACGTCCACGATTACCTGTGAGGACTACACCGTTGGAAAAACGAAACGAAACGAAACGAAAAAGAAACGAAACGGAACGATAGGTCCCAACATTTCATTGCATGTGTTTGTCGCATAACCCCGATAGGGGGTCACTTACTGAGTATTCTAGAAATACTCAAGCCTCGTGCTACTTTACTTTTGCAGGTAAGGGCAAGGCACCCATGTGACAACGACGACGGCATCGTATCCCCCAGGATCGTGGCACATGCATAGGGTAGTTGGTTGTTCTTTTTCCATTTTGTCTAGGCCGAATCTGGTTGCATCATAAACCTTAGGTAGAATAAAATATGCATTTTTGGTTTCTGTTTCTTTTCCTTTCTTCCAATTTTCTCTTTTTCCCTTGTAACCATTTTTCTCTGAGGTAATAAAAGGCGAGTGCGAGTCGCATTAATGAACAGGGCCCATTAAATGTATATTCCGCATTTCTAAGTATAGTAATGACCTTAGATTAGACAGATAAAATATTAGGGTGTTACATGAACTAAATACACTACCTACCAGGGACGTTGCTTTAGTCAAAATATTGTGAGGAAACTAGCAAATGGAGGAAACCTACGTGAAAATAGGAGGAATAAATGAGAGAGAAATACCTAATCAAATCAGATGCACCGATTTTATAATTTTGATCTCAAAATAATAATCTTTTATTATCTGATGGATTGTCATTCTTATTCTTGGATACATTAACTAAAAAGGGCATAAAATTTATTGGATTTGGTAGTAGACGTTGTGAAGGATAAGATTCAAGGGAAGACCTCAATAAGAGACCTTAAACCCAAGAAAGTACTTATCTTATAGTTACTAAAACCAGCTGCCATGAACAGATCCTTCCATTCTCTCTCATTTCTCTTCGTATTGTTGAAAGTGGCCATCATCAACGCATTACCACAAAGCTCAGTTTCAGTTGACTCCTCATCTTCCATCTGCGTTTCCAGCACTGCCTCTATGATCACCACTTTCCCACCTTTGGCGCTACTAATTGCATCTTTACATTTCTTCAGTATTTGTATGCCTTCTTCATCGTTGCATTGGTGTAGAACTGACTGATGATCACCAAAATCCCAAACTAAGTACTTTTTCGGAATGTTTAAGGTTTGAAATCTAAAGGGCAACCTTCATACCTTGAGTAAGACTGCATCTGTTGGTGGAATTTGTATTGCTAAGTTCAACCCTTTTGTGGTTTGTTGGGGGAGATCCAACACAGTGCAAGTGATGTGTGGGAATGCTTCCGCTATGGCATTGGCTATAATGCCTCGATCGCTGGCAACATCGACCAGTGACTTCACCCCCTCGAACACGTCTCGGCACTCCGGCCTCGTCACGATCCTCCCAATCAGGTGAGAATCATAAGCCACGGATTGATGGAACAAATTTCTAAGATCAGGCTCATCAGCAACGTAATTCCATATTGATTTCCCATGCACCGTTTCAAAGGCAGAGCCATCTGCAGTGCGCAGCCAGCTGCTCATGGTTTCCCATGGAGCCATCATGGCTTGATGGAGGGCTAGAAACACAAAGGGTAAGGCTTGTAATGTCGTCGTCGTCGAAGTCGTCGTATTGGGGCTGAGGAGAAATCGAGAGGAGGGTGTAAGACCATACTTCACTACTTCTTGATGCTGATGATTCTGGTGTTGAGTTTGAGAAAAGAAGCCAGAATGATGGAGGAGGCGCATTAGAACGCCAAGGCAATGGGCTTTGGAGGGTTGAATATGGAGCGCTTCCACTAATTCTGATAGGCTTATGGGTTGGCCATGGTTATGGATGATATCTGGAACGCCCAATTCAATAACACATTTCAAAGACATGGAATTGATGTATTTGAATGTATGGTTCCAAATACGGGCTTGAGCTTCAATCAACTCATCTGTGTTCTCCTTCTCTCCCATGATTTCCCTCAACGATTAACTATGCCAACCCAAATATATATATATATACACAACAGACTCAACTTCCTTCATAACTCAATTAATGAGACTTAATGAAACTATATTTGATATTCGTCACAAAAAAAAAGTAAAAAGAAAAGTTTAATTTAATTTTTCATCTTTATTTCTATTTAATAGGAAGGATCCTTTATTTAAACTCTATTAATCTTCCTTCTCCAATTAATGGAATTCAATATAACAATAATTTTCCCATATGGAAATTTTTGGTTTATAAATGGGAGCCAACCATACCAATCTAAGATTTTCGTGTAACATGGTCACATCCCCTACTGCTCCCTTATGAGAAGGAAGATTATCCCCACAAATCAACACGAATACTTTCAATTGAATCCATCCTAGTTACTGGATCCTTCTTAAGGTGGACTCTTTTCAGCCTCACCTCTTCCTCTACCTCTAATAGGAGTTGTCCCTTTCCTTGTGTTCCTCTTCCACGTCTTCTGGGCAGTATGGTTCTGGAAACCAAGATGATTCGATGTATATCATATTACACATTATAACAAAAAAAATTCATATAGCATAGCAAGCATATAATAGCGAAATTAAATCAAGCATCATGCTGCAATAAATGATATAATTATAGCTCATCAATTTTCATGCTACATAACATTTAATACTTAGAGCAAATCACAATAAATATCATCACAACATTCTCCTTTTCTTATCTTATGGACGAGTGAACCATGGAACATGTCAAGCCTATATTATATACTAGTCTATAAGATATGTAACTTAGAGCTCTGATTCCAGCTGCAACAACTCTAGATTTTTCTACTTGACCTAAAGTCGCTACTGTATACATATATTGCGGAAATGCTTCACTGAAAACTTTATAATAAAAATATGACTTTGGTCTTGCATGTCTCATCTAAAGCCTTTAAACAAACTAATACAAATTGAAATAAGGAAAATAACATAAAGTAAAATTGTCCTACACTTAACCTATATGCTAGTAAATGAAAATGCAACTAACCTATACTAACCTATAGTCTAATAATTCAAATTACGAAACTATCTTAAGAATGTGTCACGATCTCCTAGTTGCGATGTCACCATCAGTCGTACTGCCTTTACCTAAAAAATGAGAGTATCAAATAAGTATTTTAAGAAATGCTCAATAAGCGACTCCCCTGTTGAAACTAAATGCAATCACATCCAATTTCATGAGTGAGACCAATTATAATAGTCTATTTTCCTACGGCAGCTATCCTAAACGGACAATTGGATGTGTACTTAATTTTCCTACACACGGTCCACACGTGCGAGTATGGACACATCTGTCAGTTCACACACCTCCTAGACCCCTTTCTGGTCAGGCAAGCATTCTCTGGTAGTTGTTGATGTCATACACCCATTAGGAATTGCAGCCATCATGGCAGCATTATGGTAAACATAATGATCGTTTCCCTATCTCATAGCGTACGTGTCCGTACTATTGTGAAGGAGAAGAGGTATCCCCCGATGCATGAACACACAATAATGCATGAGATCCCAATATTTTCCCATTTTCATTATCATATACTACAACCCTGCTAGCGTCTTTCTTCATACCATATCATTTTTATCATATCTTCCATGCGTGTATTGGGGTCTTATTTCATGCCAATTCGTCATTTGTATGTCAATCATATCATATCATTCATGTTACACATATGCCATATCATAATATATTCATGCTTCCAGACGTACCATTCTCATCATCACATATAATATCATATCATATATCATAATAGTCACATAACATATCCCGAGAATGCCTTCAACATATCATATCTTAACATATCATATCATATCATAAACATATCAATTAATCACCATTTACTTGGTTGGTCTTAGCCCGTGTTTTTCCTAATTTGAGCACGATCACTCCCGTTTCTCAAAATTGTTTCAATTATTGTCGGTTGTCATTTCCTACTAGAATATCAATCTAGTTTTCTTAGTAATCTAAGAATTATTAACTCAATTCAACTTAAATTTGAGAAATTTACTCTTATACTGACCTTATTTATCTTAAACAAGGTCAAATTCAGCTTAGAGAAGGTCGAAACAATGAACTGAGGGCTAATTTTCCTTTACCAAGCTGAAAGGGTGAGTTTTAAGCCGCAGAACTGTTTAAGCCAACTAAGCCGAGGAGGTGTTTTGCTGCAAGTGTGACATATGACACAAGTAGATGCTGACGCGTGTGCAGGCTGCTTCGGGTCGAGATGTGGGTCGAGGCATGGGTGCGGCTGCTGCGGTATGGGATGATGCGAATACTGGGCCATAGCAGGTTGGGCCTCAGGCGTGGGTTTCTTTCGGGCTACAGGCATGCAGGTAGTGGATGTTGGCTGCAGGTTTGGGTTGGAGAGCTGACGGGTCATGGCTGAAGGTTGGGTTGTGGGTTGTGATCGACCTAGGTCCGGATCCATCGGATCTCATCTTCCTCACCCGAATTACTCTCGATTTTCTAGCATTTTTCTCTCTTTGAGAACGACACTTCGATAGACTGCTTCTCATCATCTTTCCTTCTGTATGTCTCAATTGACCCTTCCTCTTCACTTCCTACGGAGTAGTTCGTATTTGTCAAAAAGTACTTTTAGTAGCAGTTTTGTAAAAATATCCGCAACTTGATCCTGACTTGCCACATGCAGCAATTCCACACTTTCTTCCTTCACAGGATCTCGGATAAAGTGAAAACGAACGTCAATGTGTTTGCTTTTTCATGGTTCAGTGGGCTCTTTGCCAACTCAATAGCTAATTAGTTGTCAACTTGAATCACTGTTGCACCTAGTTGCTTTAGCTCCATCTTGCTTAACAAATTTCTAAGCCATATCGCGTGACATACACACCAAGATGCTGCCACATATTCGACTTCACACGTCGAGAGCATCACGCTCGATTGTTTCTTTGAAAGCCAAGTAAATGTTGTGTTGTCCATAAAGAATACTGATGTACTTTTTCAATCGTCTATGTCTCCACATCAATCGTTGTCAGAGTAACCAACCAACTTGTAATCTTCTGCTTTCGAGTAGAATAACCCAAGTGACACCGTTCCTTGGATGTACCATAGAACTCGCTTAAACGCCTTCTAATGAGAATAAATCGGCTCCTCCATGAACCGCCTTATAATGCTAACACTTTATGAAAGACGTGACTTTGTGCATGTAAGATAGTGAAGGCTTTCTACCAAACTTCAGTACCTATTTCCATCTACTCGTTCTCCTTCATCGTACTTTGAGAGTTTTGCACCTGGTTCCATTGGTATTGATACCGAGTTGCAATTTTCCGTCTTGTACTTCTTCAAAATCTCTTTTGCATATGTCTCTTGTGATATAAAAGTACACGTCTCTCCTTGTTTAACCTCCAAACCAAGGAAAAACTTCAACAAGTCCAAATCTGTCATCTCAAATTCTCGTGTCATTGTGCCTTTCTCTTCTTTCATCTCATCATTGTTACCCAAAAAAATGAGGTCATCAACATAAAGAGCAACAAATATCACATTACCTCCATTCTTCTTTGTGTAAAGTGCATGCTCGTGGGGACTTTGCTTGTACCCATTCTCCTTGAAATATGTATCGATACGAGTATTCCATGCTCCCGGTGCTTGCTTCAACCCTTAAAACGCCTTCTTCAAATTTAATACCTTCTTCTCTTCTACAATTTTCATGTACCCGGTGTTAAGTTATGGAGTCTGCTCCCTGTATTTATAGCTTGGCCAACGGCTATATCTGGTAAAACTATATTTGGTAAAGCCATATTTGGTAAACCTATATCCCGTAAAGCTATATATGGTAAATAGCTATATATAGTAGATGGTTAAATCTGGTAAAGCTATATATAGTAGATGGTTAAATCTAGTAAAGCTATATATAGTAGACTGAACCATATATATATCCCGTCCAGTAGAGCTTTGGAAATGTACTTTCTATTCTCTGTAATTCCCTCTTGTTGTACATACCTGAAGTCATCAATAAAAGAAAAAAAATCCTTTTAGCCAGAGTTCTCTTGCAATTTTCTCTATCACTTTCTTTGTGTTCATCTAGATCGAGCGTGTGCGTTGTTGTGTGATCCTAACAACTGGTGTCAGAGCAAGGCGAAATTCACCACGATCTGTCAAGATAGAAAGTTCAAAGATTGGAATTGAGAAGTTCGATGGATCCGATTTCGGTTTTTGGAAGATGCAGATTGAAGATTATCTGTACCAGAAAGATCTTCACGAACCTCTGTTGGGGGTGAAGCCGGATACCATGACCAAGGAGCAGTGGAAGCTTAAGAATTGACAAGCCTTGGGGCTGATCCGGTTCACGCTATCCAGAAACGTGGCGTTCAACATTATCAAGGAGAAGACAACGTCAGATCTATTGAAGGCGCTGTCAAATATGTATGAAAAACCATCGGCTATGAACAAGGTGTATTTGATGCGGAGATTGTTCAATCTACAAATGTCTGAAGATGGACTTGTTGCTGATCATATAAATGAATTCAATATGATCATAAGTCAACTAAGTTCGGTGGAAATTAATTTCGAAGATGAAATTAAAGCGTTGATTTTGATGTCATCCTTACCCGAGTCATGGGATACTGTTGTTGCCGCAATCAGCAGTTTCCGAGGATCTGATAAACTGAAGTTTGGTGAAATTCGAGATGTAGTTCTCAGCAAAAGTATTCGCAAACGAGAAACTGGAGATTCATCAGGCAATGCTCTAAGTGTTGATCGAAGGGGAAGAAGTAAATCAAAAAGCTCAAACAAACATGGGCGATCAAAATCAAAGAACCGGAGAAAATCTCTAAACAAACCCAATGTAACGTGCTGGAGCTGTGGGGGAAGAGGACACTTTCGAACAGATTGTACAAAACTGAAGAAGAAGCAGAATCATAAATCTGAAGATGATGATGATTCTGTATATACAACAGAAGATACTGAGGACGTTCTAATCCTTAGTGTGGACAACCCAGCTGATTCCTGGATTTT